GTAGAAATAGAGAAACACATGGAATTAGAACATTGAATTCCCTAAGTATAGTGAACATGCAATAAAACCATGCTAAAATGGACATTTAATTTAAAACATACTTTTCATGCTATTTTGATTGAAAACTTATAAAAAGGTATACGGACCACCTTAAAGTCAATATTGATATATAAGACATATACATGTAATTCATAGGGTACAGCATAATCATTAGAATACACATAAGCATTTCAACCTCCTACCAAGTGTTATCCTAAGACCCACCTAAGTATGATATGAAGAGAGCGCCCATACAACTTCTTCACGCACAACTAAGTTATTATCAGGACTTCTCAAAGTAAGATTATTCTCTTTTGTTCAGTTAGACTCTCAATCCAAGGTTACTCCAAGACTCACCTAAGTAAGACATGAAGAGACCGCCCATACACCCTCTTCAAGCGTATCTATGAAATCCTTAAAGCTACCTTAGATAAGAACCTTTCTATTCAACATGAATTAAATAAGTCAAAAATATTCATTAAGTCCTTTAAGAGACAATAAAACAATTATAGTACTTCACATAATGGTCTTGGAAGACCTAGGGAACTCCCCTAGCATTTTCGATGCCTAATCCTGCAATGTATGGATTGCGTCCCATTCCACTACCTATACGTTGTAGAACTTGTCCAATTACTATAGTGTATATCCCATATGATGATAATAGACATTAACTGACATAGACCATTCTAGATAGGTATGGAATCAAGTGTCATAAGACCCCACACCGTGGAAGGTGTTCCACTTGCCAACGGTAGAACTACTAATCATCCCATGTTCGCACATGGTTAAGGAATATTAAGAGCTTCTTTGTAATCTATTCTCATCTAATGTAGAGCTACTACCACAAGCATATTCACTCAGTGTTTTTCCTTTGTTCTCATAATGTAAATCATTCCCTAGGATTGTTAGAGAATGTACAATCACTATGCCCTACCAACTCATAATATTTTTTTCAAGGATGGGAAGGGCTTCAAACTAAGGACGATTAGGATATATCTTATGACTTCCTCAAAGATGGTTTCATGCTATTCCAGCCAACCTACCCCTATGTCCATCATTCCACTCATAAAGGACACCATTTCGGTCTTTCACTTCTCTTATTAACCTTCTTATCATATTCAATGTTTCACATTCTTGACCTTCATTTCCTATTCAAGGTTTTACATTCTTGACCTTATTTTAATTATTCAAGGTTCTACATTCTTAACCTTCGTTACATATTGAAGCCTTTACATTATCGATATTCTTTTCTTATTCAAGGTTTTACTTTCACTTAGGGTTCTAGACTCATAAAGAAGGGCACCAAGCTTAGGTCTACTAGTTGAAGACATATTCTAGAATACATCATTTATCCATTTAAGGAATGGCACCTACTTTAGGTCTACCGATCCTAGACTTTAATTCCTATAATCATTCAATACGATACAAGTACCAAGTAGGCTACCAATGCAAGAAACAATATCATTCCATATAGGCTCTTCCTATCCTTCATCATATATCAAAAACTAGAGAAGTAACATATTTAGTCATATCATTATGGCACCCATAGAAGACCATATAGTCATTACATGAGCACCTTCACTTCATACCTTCACGTATACTATATCGTAATCATAGTATAATTCATGTAGTAATGCCGATAAGGCCATGTTCTTTACATTTATAACAATCAAACACCGTCACCATAAGTGGACCGCACCAATCAATAACAATTCTATATCAATTCTATGATAAACAAATGAATTAGGTAAACTCACCACCAATAATCATAAATTACTTAATAAATCTTCAATCTACATTTTTTCATGCAAGAACTCATGCTTAGAATTCAAAATAGGATTTTTATGTTTTTGAACATCTTTGAAAATCCATTTAATTTGGATACTTGATTACAAGAAGAATAAAGGATGGAATAACCACAACTCAATTGAATAATTCCAATGAAATTCATTGAGAAATCAATGAACGACTCCAATCCTTGCTTGAACTTAGCTCCTTGCTTTAATAAAGTCTAGAGAGAAATTCTTTTGATCTCAAGGTTTTAATTTTGAATAATGAGGTCTAAGTCAAGGGTTTAGAGTCTTAATTAAATTAATATACAATAAAAGACCCAAAATAACCACGTAGGACTTAATTAGGACTTTAGGTGAATTTCCCAAAACACCCCCACCTTGTCCAAGACACTACAGAAAGTTACAAGTGTCAAACAACGGTTGCCATCTACTGGTCGTCGTTTGATATACGGGGAATCCTGTTAGGCATCATTTGGTATAGATACTCCCCATTTGGGGGATAAGATCCAGCACCTAAGTGAGGATATACGCCCCAATCAACGAGGCATCGATGGAACAACTAAGTGTGGTTTGATGGTAATGTTTTGGACTACTTTTTGGCAGTTTCTTTCCAAAGTTTGGGTCCTCCACAAGGACCCTTAGGCTGGTGTTTGGGGTGTCGTACCCTGGTTTTTCGACCCCAAAAATCGTCATCTAGGTTTTAGAGTCCTCTAGAATAAATTTAGACACCAAATAACCCATAAAATGTGCAAAGGCGCACTATCACACACAACGACTGGTTTCCAAATATCTTATACGTTTGACTTTCAAACACTACAAATTGTCTTCTAATGCTAAAATCATCATTTTAGCACTTTAATAACTCAAAAAAACACTCAAATTGTCTTCTAATGCTAAAATCATCATTTTAGCACTTTAATAACTCAAAAAAAACACTATAGGCTCTATTTCAGCCTAATTCATTTTGAGGGTTGTAACAAAGACGTTGATCCTATTTTGGTAGAATGAAAGAGGCGGTACTTAAGAAATTTTTTAAGTATTTCTCCCAAGTGGGAGATGTTGTTCTTCCCTACCAAAGGTTGGTTATTTTGTCCTGAATAGGGATGGTTTTAGAGAGACAATTTTTAGGAGACTCGTAGTTCTCGATATTTTTTTTTACGTGCGATCTACAAGGGTGTATTGTGATCTATTGCAAATCTATTTGTGGTATGGGATGAAGAAAGATATTTTGGGATTTGTAGACGAATTTACTAGTTATAAACAAGTTAAGGTTGAGCATCAAAGGTCGCGAGGTTGCACCAAGATATAAGTATTCCCACTGTGAAGTGGGAAGATGTGAACTTTACTTAATTATCGGTTTACCCCGTAACTTGAGATAACATGATTCATTTTAGGTAATTTCAGATTAGATGATAAAATCAGTGCACTTTAGTCCCGTCAAGGTTTTTTTAAGTTGAAGACTATTCTATGTTGCATATAAAGGAAATGGTGAAATTTCATGGAGTTCCTTTACCTACTGTTTCCAATCATGTACTCAATTTACTTCTCACTTTTGGAAGTCATTCAAAAAAGGGCTTGGTACTAAGGTTAAGCTTAGTATGTCTTTTCATTCCCAAACATATGGGCAAGTGGAGTGTACCATCAAAATGTTTGAAGATATGTTAAGAGAATGTGCGGCTTCAAGGATAATTGGGAACGTCCACTTTCCGTTATAGTTTTCCAACAATAACAGTTATCACACAAGAATTGGTATGGTTGCCATTGAAGAACTTTTAGTGGGACATATAGGTCTACGGTTGTCTATTTTGAGGTAGGTGAAGTTTCTTGATAGGTCTTGATATAGTGTACGAAGCCATTGAGAAAGTTTGTCTTAGTAGAGAGAGGTTCAGAACGGCTCAAAGTGGACAAATGTTTTAGGACGATTTGAGAAGAAAGGATCTAGTTTGACGTGTATGAATGTGTTTATTTGAAAATCTCACCCATAAAGGGTTTGATGAGACTAGGCGAGAAAGGTAAACTTAGTAACCGCCTTGTAGGACCATACAAAAATTTTGAGACGTATTGGGAAGGTTACCTATGAGTTGGGGTTGACATATGAGTTGGCCTTGATTCATCCGATATTTCAGGTTTCTATGCTTAATAAGTGTATTGGAGATCCGACATTCATTATTCCCCTAGACAGGTTGGGAGTTGACGGAAGTCTTTCATATCAATAGGTTACGGTAGATATCCTAAATCGGCAAGTCATGAGATTGAGAAACAAAGAAACAATTTCCATGATGGTTTTATAGATAAATCACATTGTTGAGGGCGCTACTTAGGTGGCGAGGCCGATATGAATTCCCGATATCCTTCTCTTTCCTTCTACTCCATTTCAATTTTGAGGTGAGTAGATCCTCTTGAATTTCCTCGTTTTGGGGATCAGATGTGTTATATGTGTTTTCCATGATTTCCTTATTTTATGCATGTTCCTGAGAAATTAATGTTTAGTAAAAAAGTGAGTTTTTATGAATGATTTTCTTCATATTGTTGTGCATTGAGTAAGAGTTTCCTATATGATTCATGAGATGAAGTATGGAACATGCCTTATACTTTTGAGAGTGATTGTTGCCATGGACGGAAAAAAGCTATTCTCACTCATAATCTAATGATTTGTCATATGAATTATGTTTGATTGGGTGTCAATACACACTTCAATTAATATAAACTTGAGTCAAGAATTAATATGTACTTCTTGGAAATTGATGCTTAGCACCTAGTTGATATTTAATATGAGATGGAAGCTTTTACGCTAGTTGAGTCCAGCTTCCCAATAGAACCTTATGCACTAGTTGAGTACAGGTTCCCAAAGTAGGTCTCATGAGATGGAAATGTTCTACCTTAGTTGAGTCTGGGTTTCTAGATTACGCAAGTAAGACAACCCTTTTAAGGGTGGGTAACACCATATTTGAAAAGACTAGGGACACCCCCAAGTCGTGAAATGGCGTACTCGACCTCTCGGAGGTCCTCTACAAGCCCTTATCATTCATTCATGGCTTTTTCATAAAATAGTGCTAAGATTTAAAACTTTTTAGACAAAATCATAAGGATTGAATCCAACAATACTTTTAAAGAAGTCTTTATAAATAAGGGGAAATCTAGTCTCACAATACCATATAGACATAATAATTAAGAATTTGGGACTTAGCCCTTACATAATATAAGAAGTCTAGAATAGGAAATACAACATAGTTTCTCAATGTACAAAAAAACTAAAGATAGAATCATAAGTGTAGTGTCCTCGAACATGAACACTCACAAAAATGGAAAGACCAATCCAAGTATCATGAGAAATGTACTTTGAATGACTTCAACGACCCAAACCTACACTTGTACATATAGAGTAAAATATGGAATTAAATCAATTAAGAACTAAGTGAGATGACCATGCAAGAAATCATCTAAAAGGGGATATTTTAGTTGAAATATGCTTTTGTTGATATTTTGATAATGTCTTATAAATAAAGTATAAAATGCATCATACAAGTCAATCATCAACATACAAGATAATACTCCCATAGTCCACAGGATATGACCATTGTCATTAAGTAACCCATTTAACCATTTAAACCCTCTACTTAAGGCTATCATAAGACCACTTAAGTAAGATATGAAGATACTTACCATAAAATCTCTTCAATATACACCTAAGTGTCCTTAAGACTACCAAAGATAAGGATATTTACTTTCTGACACAACCACAACAAGTCAATAATCATTAATAGAGATACTAGAAGAGACATTCATGCATTTAAGGGATTTCACATAATGGTCTTGGAAGACCTAGGAACCCACTCTAGTACCTTAAAATCCTACTCGTTCCATGTATAGAGAGCATCACATTCTACTACTACGCGTTGTAGAACCTCTGCTTAGCTAAAGTGTACATCCCACATGATGAGAAAAGACATTAACAACCATAGAACACACTAGCTAGGTATGGAATTCAATGTCATAAGATCCCAAACTGTGGAAGGTGTTCTACTAGTCAAAAGTAGTACTATGGTCACATCCCATGTAGGCACATGGTTTAGGGGATATCAAAAGGCGTTTTTTACTCTAGCCTCTTACTTCAAGTAGAGATACTACCTTAAGCTTATCCACTCAGTGTTTTGCCTTAGTATTCGTAGAGTATGTTCATTCACATAATAGTATCTTAGAAGGTACAATCTCTAAGCCCCACCGACTCATAATACCACTACCAAGAAGGGATCCACAAAGGTCTATCGATCAAGGTTAATTAGGGTAGCTCATTCAAGAAACGGTTACAATGCGAGTTCTATTCGATTGACTTATTATCAACCTTATTTTCATAGTCAAGCTTTCACATACACTTAGAGTTCTAGACTAATCAAGAAGGGGAACCATTCTTAGGTCTACTGGTTCAAGACATACTCTAGAATTTCATTCGTGTATGAAGTATGAAAAACTAATTCTATCTAAGAAATGCACCATATCAATATATAGAGACTCCTCATAGTCTATCATCATCACATACCAATATTTAGCGGAAACATGCTTTCATACACAATCTGACATAGCTTCATACAATTCATCTTAACATCATATCGCCACTTTACAATATGCCCATCTTCCACATAACAACGTAAAAAGCCTTTAATTAACCTCAAAAGAATCAGCAAGATCACAATCATAATAAGAACATGAAGTAACCACCTCCACTGGAAGTGGATCAAACCATACAAAAGGAATTATGCTATAATAAGCAATTGAATCAACTCACCATTCTCAAACATCAAAATTCACTATTATTCAACTTCCAATGCATCAAGAGAATTTACCGATCATCATTCTTATCACAATATATTAAGATAGATAACAATAAGAATCAATACTATGAAGCAATCTAAATACAATTCCATCCATACAAAATCCCAATTATCAAACCCACTTTACAAGCCAAAATTAAGGCATTATAGGGATGATGGGTTCATGGAGTTTTAACTTGAAATCATAAATTAAACCATAATGTAATCATAACAATTTGTTTGAAACCATTTCATGGAAGAACCCATGAGTTTGGGGAAGAATTGGCTCTAGGGAGAAATCTAACTTTATATAAAAAGTCACCATACCTTTGTATTGAGAAGCCCACGAAATTTGGATTGAAACTTCTAAGAATTGACCCTCTTACTGGGATCTTGAAAGTTCTTCAATGGAGGATTTGGGTGGACATATAAGTTAGAGAAGAGGGAGAGCTTTTGATTCTATATTTACGGTTTTGTTTTTGATTGGTGAAAGGGAGTAAAAGTTACATAAAAACCATTTAGAAGAAATCACCAAAGTACCCAAAACACCCCTTCACTAGTTGAACTTTTTAACTAAGTCTAACTTCACTTTTTTTTTCTAAATTTTCGTTGCGGAACAAGTCCGCGCCCCTGAGGTTTTAAATGAAGTTTCTGGAAAAATATTTTTTGAGAAAGATAATTCCATGATAACGTTCATTATGTTGATAAAAAAAATTTTCCTTTGTGGAGTAGGTCCGCGGCACAGACTAGTTCTCAAAACCTTTGCTTGTGCGCTACCTCTGCAGCTTATTGGCCAAGGCTTGTGTCCTCCTCAAAGATCCTTAGGTTGGTTCTTGGAGAGTCGTGACCGAACTTGTTTACTCTAAACAGTATTTTTAAAAAAGTAGGATAACCTCTACTGATTTTAGATACCAAAAAACACATAAAACATGAACAACATACTAGAACACACCCACACATAAAAGACTAGTTTCTGAATGTCTTGGTCGTCCCTTGAATTTTAGACTCTAATACAATAAACTGGTTAATTACAGTACTTTAGGTATAAAAACATCACTTTAACCATTTTTAAGTCATTATTCATAATATGAGGATCTAGCTTAGGTTATTGCATTTTCGAGGTGTTTCGGAATTCCGTGTAAGCTCACATGGTCTATGTCGCTTATGTCTTATTCCCCACTATAGCAACAATATGAACAAGAATATTAATTATGAAATATGGTTACTCAAGAATATTTAATAAGAATTGTAAGATCAAAGGGGTTTTATTCATGTGTTGCACAAGTATGCTTTGAGGGTATTTATGCTATTTTATTTTATGCTATGATGATCTATGTAATGAATATGCTTATGACTTATGATTTACCACAATCTTCATAATGGTGTTTTAACTTAGTAAGTTTCATGAATTCAAATGAAATTTCCTTTTAGCATGTTTTCAAGATATTTATGCATGACTATCATACTTGGTGCATGATTGTACTACAACCTACTTTTCCAACATTTTCCCCCAGTGTAGGGTCCGGTTGTGAAGGTCATCATGTTGTGGTTAACTCTTGTATTTTCTTATTCTCCAAAATTGTTGGTGAGTCCCTTTTTTAGGGGACGGTTGTTATGTCATTGTAGTTAATATCTTGTATTTCTTTTGGATTATATTGTATACGATGTATGTCGCTCTCCTATTCTGAATATTGTAATAGATTACTATATTGAGAGAAGTCTACACTTCATCTTTCATTTATCAAAATTTTGGACTTGATAATCACTTATACCCTTTATTGTTCTACTCTTTTATTATGATATGTTAAGTGCCTTACATGGAGCCTTTGGGGGTTGTATGTGCCTTGTTACTTCTAGGGATACCCCTGGGCTGTGATAGTATGGAAGTTTAAGTTTTTATGCTTTTTTCAAGTATTCAAGTTGAAGTCTTCAAAATATCCAAATATGTAAGTAAATATTTTTCATATTCTTCAAGGATGCAAGTAGAAGTCTTCAAATCCTTTGGTTTTGCAAGTTTATGTATTCAAACACTTTAAATATGCAAGTTGAAGTCTTCAAATACTCAAAGTATGCATGTTGATGTCTTCAAATCCATCAAGTATGCAAATTGAAGTCTTAAAATTCATCAATTACTGAAGTTGAAGTGTACAAATCCTCCAAGTATGTAAGTAGAATTCTTCAAATCATTAAGAATGCAAGTTAAAGTCTTCAAACTTCATGTTTTCAAGTTAAAGTCTTCAAATACTCCAAATATGGACGTTGTTGAATTTTCATGCCTTATGGTGGAAATATTTTTCCCTTTGCACCTTAAGCTTGCCTTTTCATGAATTTATCAATAAATGGATCTTTAGATTATCATGCCATAAGGTGGACTAGATTTGTACCATAACACTTGAAGCCCGACTTTTTGCGAATTTATCCTTAAGTGGATCTTTAAATTTCCATACCTTAAGGTTGACGAGATTCATTCTTTGCACCTTAATCTGTCCTTATCACGAATTTATGCTTAAATGAATCTTCAAATTCACATGTCATAACGTGCACAAGATTTATCCCTTTGCACCTTAAGCTACCTTCTCATATATTTATCCTTTGATGGATTTTTAAATCCTCATTCCTAAAGGCGGACAAGTTGTGTAATTTTGCACCTTTAGTTGACATATTTTACAGGTTTATCCTTAAAAATATCTTTATATTTCATGCTTAAAGATGGTCAAGATTTGTTCCTTTAAACCTTATGTTGGCTTTCACGAAATTTATCCTTAAATGGATCTTTAAATTTTCATACCTTAAGCTAGAAAACATTTGTCGTTTCACACCTTATGCTCAAGTATTCAGGATCTAGTAAAGCCTCTATTTAGTGATCTCCAAGGCGGGGGAGTTAAACACATCCCTTCACACCTTATGCTCAAGTATTCAGGATCTAGTAGAGCATTCGGTTAGTTATCTACAAGCCATGGACGTTAAACACATCCCTTCACATATTATACTCAATTATTCATGATCTAGAAAAGCCTTCATTGAGTGATCTCAAAAGCGGGGGGTATTAAACACATCCCTCGAAACATTGTGCTCAAGTATCCAGCATCTTGTAAAGCCTTAAGTTGGTTATCTTCAAGGAGGGGACGTTAAACACAACCCTTCACACCTCTAGATCAATTTTTTGTGTAATCATTCTCTACAAAAAAAGACACACTCACACAAAAATGGACAATACAAAGAAAATACAACTAATGGAGATGTTGTTGCACATCAAGATGTTTAAGACATGGAATGAAGCCCGTGATGTATTGTTTCGAGATATAATAAACCTTTTTATTTATGACACTCCGACATCAATATATAAAACATATTATGCGACGCAACGAATATTTGAAATCATATATGTGATAGAATTTAAAATTGACTTATAAAATTGTCTACAACAATATTATTAAATAATTTTAATCTTAATTTTCCGATATGTTGCAGCCTATTGTGTCTAGTTTCTGAATTATCAAGCTAATTGCAATTTTGATACTTCTACTTTGAGATACAATTTTGTGTATGTCATCGCGTAAATTTTAACCTTTTGGTGCAGCAAAATCTGAAGATGAATTTGTAATCATATCTGAAACAATACCAAAGATTTTAAATTTTGAATTTGTGATACATTTGGTCTAGATTCAGAATAATCAAGTGTCTTGTGACTTCGTCGTTCCTATATAAAGATATGAGATTTTAGTAAAGCCGCACAAATCTAAAATTTTTAGCATGACAAAATCAAGAGCCTATTTTAAAAAATAATCCAGAAAAATTATGAAGATAACAAGTTCTGAATTTTGGATATGTTAGAGATCGAGAAGTTTAGTTTCTGAAAAAACCAAACCATTCATGATGTGGACGCTTGTAAAATTAGATATGATTTTTTTACGGCAAACATGTCAATCTGAAAAAAAACTGACAAAAATCTGAAAAACAATGAAGGAGATTACATTTCTGATGCCTCCTTCGTCATAGCTCGAATTCGTCATAGCTCACAATCTGTAATTGAAGTCAAAATTGTTGACATAATGTGTCGATTTATAGATCTCATGTGTTGGGAATACATTCCTTCAATTAAATTCTTTTTTTGATAGGACAACAAAATATATATGAATATGAAATATAGTTGAATTAGACTTCCTAGTTCAATTATAATACCTTTTTGGCCAAGACAATAGAAGAGATATCTTAATATGAAACTGAGTGGGATTAAAATTCCTACTTCAATTGTAATTCATTTTTAGATATAGCAATAGAAAAATATGTGAATATGAAATTGTGCAGAACTATAATTTTTTTGGAGGCTTAGGCACAAAATAAAATTGGAGGCAGAAATAAATATTTACCGCTTTTCCATCTCCAAAGCATGTCCACATGGAGAGTCATTCTTCTACAAGGCAGATACAATTATAAGGCGGTGGTTACATTTGAATGAAGCAACCAATGTTGTAGGCAGTTGATCTTTTTTACAATTAATCGCATGAAGTGAACGTGACATATTTTTGTGAAGTGACTGCGACAATGAATTGATATTTTAAGAGCAAAGCAAAGAAAATTGTCATATTTGCGTCTTTTAGGATAGAATAGAAGCCAAGTGACAAACGACACTTTTTGATGTTGAAGTCAAGACTAACGAAGAAAATTTGAAGAATTAGAGAAGACTTGTTTATGGCTATCAATTTTCTAATTTTTAAACTTGAATCTATGAATTGGTTAAGTAGACTTAAAACTAAGTCTAAGTATTAATTTTTTCTTATTTAAGAGTTTCTTAAATTTCCACGCGTTGATCTGAAAATTATTAGTTTTTTGAACTTGGCCGAAACTGAATAAGAAGCTTCTTGTTTGTAAGATATTACAACCTACATCATTAAAGCACAAGACTTAGAATAGTATGATCGAATAGTGATAATGGATGAAAAGACATTTCTTGAGGTTATTAAAGCCGGAGAAATAATTGAAGATGATATCAAGAGTGGGAGAGTACAATGTCTGATCACATGGCAGTTCACTAATAAAACATTCTGAACCGGCTCATTCAAAAGTCGAAAGAAAATAGATAAATCAGTTATGATGGTAATGAATTGATGATCTACATTATATAATCGTCAACACCCTTCAGTATATCGTACTTCATAATACCCTATCTACAACCTGAATTCAACTTATTCTTTTCAAGGACCAATGCAAAATCTTCAAAATAATGTGCCTCATCCAAACATTGAAAGAAAAACTTCCTGAGTCATCATTCCATTGTCGAAACCATTGACTTATACTTTTGATGGGTTGAAAGCGGCCAAGGTTGTGAATACTTCGGTAGATTGGTATGACCCAAGTAAACGTTGTGCTTACAACTCAAGAGTTACTGAAAATGATAACGAGAAATGTATCACACTTGAATAAAAAGATCAAGAACTTATTTTCAACAAAGTGATA